CAAGGCGGCGCTCAGGTCGGGCTGTATGCGTGAGCACAGACAAGCTTCTGCGCCCTCGACTTGGCAGCAAATGCCAGCAACATGGCTATTCGACTTTGTGCAAGCGAATCATCGGTGACTGTTGGGTCGCTGAGGGTCCGCGAAGCTGCATCATTCTGACGAGGGGTGTGCAGGCTGGCTGTCGGCAGGCAAGCCAGGGGTGTGTGATGGACGCTGCAAACGCTGTATTGTGTGTTGTACTGTATTCATCATGGGCGTGTGAACCGAGTCAGACGTAGATTCTGCACCACGGTGATGTCTCTCCTGCCGCTAGACCGTGAGGGAACAAGTTGCAAGGGCAGCATGCTTCGCGCAGGCTTTCGTTCCCTATTCAAGTCGACTAAGGCAGCATGGAAGTTTGGAGATAGTGGAGGGAAAGCTTCGTAGAGAGGAGACTAGACGAGCAGAGCAGAGCGCCGCGAACCTTGCGGTACCTCAGATACCTGCTCAGGCAGGGAGGTACTGGTAGGTAGATTGCTCCGATGTATCTCCCAAGTCTCGAGACACGCGTCGCATGGCGGACTTGAGACATGGGGGGAACATGGCCTGGCTTCGATCCCATTCGCGCTCGAGGGGCCACTAGTGGGTGAGGGGTGCGGTTGCAGGTGGCAGCACCAAGTGAGGCCCCCCTTCCGCCTAGCCTGGCCTAAGATGTCCTTCCCAGTACCAGGCCCCTCGTCTCGTCCTAGGCGGGCAATTGGGGTGGGTACCTCCTTCCCAAGCGACTCGTTCGAGCCTGCCTGGGTGGGCTATGCTGATTCAGAGTGGCCAACTGCGGACAAGCTGGTGCGGGTAAGTACTGTACCCAAGCAGCCAGGGTACTACCTACCTACCTTACCTAGGTAGATGAGGCAGCAGGCAGGCAGACAGACAGACAGGCGCAGCCAGGTGCAGGAACATGACAGAAAAGAGAAGGGAAAGGAAATCGTCGCCGGCTGCTGCTTGCTTGCATGACAAGGGGGGCTTCAGGCAAGGCAATGCAACCTCCCGGTCCCCAATCAATCTGATTTTCCCTAACAAAACTTGCTGTTCTGATCTTGCATCTTGCGAACGCATTGCCATTTTGCGCTCGTCCCCCCCGCTCCCCTTCGCTACCTGTCCGGCTTGCTCGA